AAGCCCCCGACCCCTGGGAATTGCACCGGCGGAGGAGCATCGCCTGCCGGCTGGAGATCCTCAGGTCTTCCTCGGCCGACAGCGATGGATCGAGGCCGGTGCCCCCGTCCCCTTCCGGGCCTTCCCGGTCTTCCTCTTCGGATGCGTAGGAAACCAGGGAGTCATTTCTTAGTGGGGGAGAGACGGTGGACGTTTCGGGCGTCCGGAGCTCTGGTCCAGAGTCTGCTGGGAGAGAAGAGCAAGGTTGGCTGGCGGCTCCCATCCTGGAGCCCAGGTGAGGAAGCCGTAGGACCCCCTGCAACCTCCCTCCTTCCGTCTCACACCCTCCGAAAGCAAGTGAACCTCCTCAGCTCAGCCCTCCCCAACGCGGACCTTTCCTCAGAGCTGGAGACACCCCGCTGAATTGCCTTCATTTTGTCATGGGACCCAGGAAATCAGCTCGTTCCCTTCTCGTGTTTAGGACTGCAACGCCCATCAGCTCTGGCCAGCACGGTCAACAGCCAAGGCAGATGAGAGCTGTAGTCCAAAAGGGGTGGAGGGACAGACTTTTTATTCCTGCTCTGAGTCCCCGGGTTAAGAACGCCCGGGTTACAGATGACCCATACTTAAGAACAGAGCCTACTGTAGCAAAATTCGAGTTAAATATATAATGTTAAATACACAATGGTTCAAGTTCATTACACAGTACTACTTATACAGTATTATACAGTAATACTGTTCCGACTTACGTACAAATTCAACTTAAGGACAGACCTTGGGAACGGATTTTAAGATGTGCGGACTTCAACTCCCAGAATTCCCCAGCCAGCCATGCCGCCTGGGGGATTCTGGAAGTTGAAGTCCACACGTCCTAAAGCTGCCAAGGTTGAGAACCACTGGTTTGAACCATGGGCCACCATGGTTTACAAGCACCAATGTTGTGAGCACCTACATATATTTTATTAATAATTTTTATTTGATTTTGCCATCTTCCTTTATTCTACTGTCTTTATATAGTTGCCCCGCTGTTCGGCTTTTAATTTTTGAACTGGGTATGTGGGGCTGTTTTGCATTTTTTCTAAGTAAGTTGCTGAGTCACTTTGATTGTGGTGGAATAAGCTGGGGAGCATGGGAGGGGACGCCCACCTCTGGGGAGCCCCACAGGCGTCCACCTGGGGGAACAGCATCACACGCAATGTGAGATTGTGTGAATGCCACAATGATGTCATCGTAAACCCGTACGCAGGGTCGTTCGATGCCAGTGCAGCATTAACGCGGGGAGGTCGGTGCCAGGAGAGAGGGGAAAGTACAGATCCTACACTAAGCAGAGGGTTGGGCTAGATGACCCCCGAGGTCCCTCCAATGCCATGTTCCAATCACGGTGGGCGTTCTAGCGAGCAGACAGTCGCCTTGCGGGACCTACCGGAGCTGCTGTGTCCTTCACCTCTAGCATAGTCGCTCATCAGCGAAGGGTCGGGGCTCCGGACGCCCAGGCGCGGCCCCGCAGCCCCATCCATTTCAGGCAGTGCCGAGGGCTGCCCGTTGGTGTCGATGTAAATCCCGGGGGGGCCGCTTCCCGGCTGCATGGGCCCGAACGTCTGCTTGGAGGCTCCCGGGAAGAAAATCTCTGCAAAAGAAGAGAACCCCGTCTCGCTGGTTTTGGGGGCTAGTGGGCAAGGGCCTCTCTGGGTGCTGCCTGCCAACCGAGATTTGCTCACCCCCTCCAAACAGCTGCCGTGTGGAGCAGCCAGGTAGCCATTGCTGCTTTTTTTGGCAATGAAAACCATTTTTTCCGTAAAGCCTTCAAACCCACCTGGAAGTCAGAGCAGCTTAGAAGAATCTGAACAGTGGCATAGCAAGACCGGACTCCATAAACCAGTGCTCGTCGGCCCCGAAAGAGCATGCTTAAGACTTCTTTCATTCTTTCACTTTTTCACAGGCCTCTGACCCAGCTAAAATCAGGAAAATGACCTTCTCCCCCCGCTTTGTAGCTGAACCAGGGAGCAGCACCGCCTCCACCCTTCCAGCACTCTTCCCAATCTGGCCTATGCGTTTCGCCTTCATGGACTGTGCCCAAGCAGATGACCCTGGATGATCGTCTCTTGGGAATGCTTGAATTCGGGGATGGCCTCGACGCTCCCTTTCAACTCGAGGGTTCTAGCAGCGTTGACAGTGCAGCCCCTGGCCCAGGATGGTCATTTCGGGGGGAGGTTGAATTTAGGAACCTGCGCTGAGAAGGGATGTTTGGGGACGACAGGTCCCAGAATCCCCAGCCACAGGGCTGATTGAGAATGATGGGAGATGTGGTCCCAAGCCTTCTAACAGGGAGCAATCTGGGGAAGAAAGATGAGTAACTCGCCTTTTGTGTAGGGCGCGCCCTTACCAGGGTGGGCAGAAAGTAGATCCTTAAGTAATCTGAAACAGGTTGGGACGTCTGTGCAAAAAATCAGGAGCCCGACGCCCCCTTTTCCCAAATTTGATTAGCTTTTCTCTGATTTTTTTGCCACCATAGAGGAACACAGCTCTCCCCTTACAGAAAGAACGTGCCGCTTTCGGAAAGGGATTTTCGTTTGGAGGACTTGCAAAGCGAGGATAAAGATGCCTTCAAGGCAAGCTCAGCTCCACTTCGTTTTGACTTCCCAATCTAGCCAACAGCCCTGAGAACTCCTGGTGGCCTCCCATCCAAGGCCGATCAAGTCTAACCTTGCTCGGCTTTTGAAACTGGCCAAGGTCAGCTTGGGGGCTCCCCCTGCTCCTGATACCTTAGGCCTGGTACTCAGTTTTTTTTTAATTCTAATGCCCATTTTTGAGACTAGGCACCAGTTGGTGGACGTTGGAAGTTTCAGTAACGGTGAGTAAACATCCTAGTCTAGCTTCTCTGTAAGCGTCCTTACAATTTATCGACGCGTTCACACAACACCTTTAATTAATCCGTCTTCTGGGCTCTCCCACTCTAAGCAAGGAGAAAAACCTAACACGGTTAATCCTGGGCTCGGTCTCCAGTTGGAGTCTTTCCCTGATCTGGTTGGGCAAACTGCATGAAGTTGTGCTCTCTGGCAGCAACCTAACACAATGTATTGTCTGCATGGGCGGGAAGGCAATATTTTGAGGGCAAAACGTTTTGTAAATGGCCAACGACACCTGGGTCAAAAAACAGCAAGACAAGGCTGCGTGAATCTTGGTTTGGGGACTTGGGGTAACACCGGTTGTCAGACTGTTTCCTGATGATTTGCAGTTTTTTTCAGCATTTACAAATAACGATACGGTGGAGATTTTGGCATTAAGCTCCAGGATTTACATTCTTTTTCATACCATAAAAATAACTCTATGTATGGCACATAATCAATTAATCAATCAGTCAATCAATCAACTTTCTCTTGTACGGTTCAAGCTTTTATTAGTGTCACACTGAGCTTTAACGGCATAACTTCAGTAATTTTCTTGGTTCACCTACTGATATTATACAGTATCTTTTGAAAACTTATCTTTGTTTTAATTCAATAAACTTTAAAAAGAAAAAAAAATTGTGAAAATGGTGGCCATCATGGTACAATTGAAACTTCCTGTTTTTTATGGTTGTACAGGTAGTCCTCGCTTAACGACCACAATAGGGACCAGAAAATTCATTGTTAAGCGGGGCAGTTGTTAAGTAACTCATGCCCAATTTTATGACTTTTGCAGTGGTCATTAAGCGAATCACCATGGCATTAAGCTAATCATGTGGTTGTTAAGTGAATCGCATGGTTCCCCATTGATTTTGCTTGCCGGAAGCCAGCTGGGAAGATTGCAAATGGCAATCACGTGACCCCAGGACGCTGCAACCGTCGTAAATGCGAGCTGGCTGCCAAGCACCCAGATCACTATCACATGACTGTGGGGGTGCTGTGATGGTTGTAAGTGCGAGGACCAGTTGTAAGTCCCTTTGTTCAGCACTACTGTTACTTTGAACGGTCATTAAATGAATGGTTCAGTGAGGACTACCTGTACTCTGAAAGCAGGTTGGGTCGTGATGCACATCAAAAAACAGGTGGAGCTTCGATCTCACTGTCACAGCTGCCATTTTGACTTTTCTGACCCTACCCCACAGGCACCCTGAAGTTATTAAAAGAGAAAGCAGGGCTCCCCCGTCCTTAACATCATTCAATCTCCATTTCTAGGGTCGTGTCGGCAGAGCCCCCGCCCAATCTCCCCACTCACCTGGATCCAAGACGATCTCCGGTTCCGAATCATGGGTGGGCTGCAGGAACGTGGAGGCCACCATCTTCTCCAGAGGCGTCAGCCGAGGCTTGTGGGGGGGCCCCGTGCGATGGACGGCCGGGGGCTTCTTGGCGGTGATCTTCTTCTTGACGTCCAGCCTTAAGTCCCGCCATTTGTGCTTGAGGTCGTCGATGGAGCGCTCCGTGTAGCCGAGGAAGTTGACCCGGCTTTGGATCTGGGTCCAGAGCTGTTTGCGGCGCACGGGGTGAGCCCGGAAGGACTCGGACCCATACAGGGCGCCGAAGTGCCGGACTACATTCCAAACCAGGGTTTCCGTCTCATCGTTGGAGAAGTTGGCCTTGCGCTTCCGGCCGGTGGCGCCGGGGAGGGAGGCGGCCGCCGAGGTGGACGGGGAGGATTCAAACTGGACTCCCCATTGGCCTCTCTCCGCGGCCGAGGAACACATGGAGTCCCAGCGCCAAAGGGGGGAGGAAGCCGTGAAAAGTCCGCTGGAGGAAAGACGGGCGGGGGTCGGCTTGTGCCACCCCCGGCCTGAAAGTCACCGGGGCCCTTTGGGAGAGGCCGCCCGGCGGCCGATTAAGGGTCTGGCCCGAAGTCCTGCAGTCTCATCTCGAAGGCATCTACCCAAAGAAGGCATGAAAGGGAAAAAACAAAATCAGAAACTTTCCAAAAGTTTGAGCGACCCTCAAAAGAAAAATCCACGAGGACATCATACCCAAAAAAGCCCTGCCCGTGCAAGATCTTAGGGTTCAACTGAGAGTCTTCCCTCCTCGGACCCGCTGGCTTAAAAACGCCGCGCTTCTCTTGCCCGGAGAGGAGGACCAGACCCCAAGGGGTTCCAGCTCCAAGGAAAAGGCCTGAGGCTGGACATGGGGGGAGCTTCCGGCCGAATGAGCGGGCAGCCCGGGACGCAGGCTGCCCCACGAAGCGGGCACGTCTCCTTCAACGGAGGCCCTGAAACTGAAGCAGCGTGGTCGTCGGCCAGAGGCTCCTGGGGACCCTGCCCTGAGCAGGGGGTCAGCCTACATGACCTCTTGGGCCCCTTCGAGCTAGACTTCTCATGCCTCTGGGCACCTCGGGAGGTGCCATCTAATGCAGCTGGACGGTCTGTTTGGGGATCCCTTCCTTGGCGACTGGTGGCCAACAGGTAAAGAGTAACAAGGAGTAAAATCTATCTACGCGTGCTATCAACGCAGTGTCTCTCGAGCTTGACCGCCTGGAGGTGGGCGGACTTCATCTCCGGAGGTGGGCGGAGGTGGGCGGACTTCCCCATGCTGGCTGGGGAATTCTGGGAGATGAAGTCCGCCCACCTCCAAGCTCGAGGGACACCACCTTGGGGAGACCGCCTTGGAGCGCTGGAGTCTTTTCCCCCCAAACTACGCACTCACCAAAGCTCGCCTTTTGGTGAAATCTGCCAGCCGGCAAAGGTGCCCCCGGGGCCAAGCGCTGCAGTGGCATTTCCACAAGCCCTTCCGGGCTCTTCGCACGGGCCACGACTGAGGCCCAAAGGAGCGAACGCGGCATGGAGGGAGGGAGGCGAGTTCTCCGTGCCAGACCCTCCGGCCGGGGCCCCGGGGCCCCAGGCCCTCCGCGCAGCACGAAGCACCGGGGACTCCGCGCGCGGCTGTCCGGGCCGGGGGGGCCTTTCGGGGCCCCCATCGCCCCTCCCCTCCCCTCCGCACGCGCCGAAGATCAGCGCCGGCGCCCCGCTCCTCGTCTCGCCTGCCGGTGGGGCCTTCGCAAGGGGGGACTCCGCGCGCGGCTGTCCGGGCCGGGGGGGCCTTTCGGGGCCCCCATCGCCCCTCCCCTCCCCTCCGCACGCGCCGAAGATCAGCGCCGGCGCCCCGCTCCTCGTCTCGCCTGCCGGTGGGGCCTTCGCAAGGGGGGACTCCGCGCGCGGCTGTCCGGGCCGGGGGGGCCTTTCGGGGCCCCCATCGCCCCTCCCCTCCCCTCCGCACGCGCCGAAGATCAGCGCCGGCGCCCCGCTCCTCGTCTCGCCTGCCGGTGGGGCCTTCGCAAGGGGGGACTCCGCGCGCGGCTGTCCGGGCCGGGGGGGCCTTTCGGGGCCCCCATCGCCCCTCCCCTCCCCTCCGCACGCGCCGAAGATCAGCGCCGGCGCCCCGCTCCTCGTCTCGCCTGCCGGTGGGGCCTTCGCAAGGGGGGACTCCGCGCGCGGCTGTCCGGGCCGGGGGGGCCTTTCGGGGCCCCCATCGCCCCTCCCCTCCCCTCCGCACGCGCCGAAGATCAGCGCCGGCGCCCCGCTCCTCGTCTCGCCTGCCGGTGGGGCCTTCGCAAGGGGGGACTCCGCGCGCGGCTGTCCGGGCCGGGGGGGCCTTTCGGGGCCCCCATCGCCCCTCCCCTCCCCTCCGCACGCGCCGAAGATCAGCGCCGGCGCCCCGCTCCTCGTCTCGCCTGCCGGTGGGGCCTTCGCAAGGGAAGGGAAGAGAGGAAGAGAAGAGAAAAAAGAAAAGAGAAGAAGGGATGGAGAAGAGAGAAAGGAAGGGAAGGGATGGAGAAGAAGAAGGGATGGAGAAGAGAAGAGAAAGGAGAGGAGGTGAAGCCCACCCACCTTAGAGCCGCCGGGGCTGAGGCGCCCTGTCGTAGACCCTGTTCCAACCTGGCCTGCCTTTGAACTGGCAGAGGTGGCACGGGCGAGCCTCTCAAACCTGCCCACGGGGCCCACCTCGCAGGGCTATTAGGAGCGCGAGTAAGAAACGTTGCCCCCCCCGCTCAGTTCAGAACAGGCACTCTCTGTGGGCGGCGGCGGCGACCAATGCCTGAATCCTGGGGAACTCCCCGCCTAGAGAAATCCACCTGCCCCCTCTGCCCCTGCCTGGAAATCCCGTGACCTAAAAAATAAATGCCTCTGCAAAATTATTGAGCAGGATGGATCCATAAACAAAGCTCTCCTCCCCCTCCGCCCCTTCATATCATCATCCTCATCCTCATCCTGCCAATCTTCTTCCCTTGCTTTCCTCCTCCCTGCCCAGTTCCTCGCCCCTGAGCCCCACTTGAGAGTCTCCAGCCTCTACCCGGCGGCACAAGCAGCTTTGGGAAAAGCAATCCGGCCCTCGCCCGAGCCGGTTCCGACTCCGAGCCGGAGGCATTCCAAAGGGAAGTTCCCGTTTCAAAGATGGCCGCTGCCGGATCAGCAAGCGCCCAATCCAGCAGAATCCAAAAAGGCGGCTTTCTTACGCCAGTGCCGCCATGTTTAATAAGGGCAAAAGTCCCCCCCCCCCTTTTTTTTTGGCCGCGGATTGCTAAAATAACTATTGGCGGGGTGGTTCGCCTCCTTCCTCACAACCATTTTGCAGGCTGGAATGCACTTCCTAGCCCTGCCGGAAAATCTCGCCCTGCAAAAATGTGGGAGCGTGCAAAAGATTCACTTCTGCCAAAGGAAATTGGCGGTGGAAAGTTTCTGCTCCGGAGGATCCAGATCAGCTGGGGACTTCTGGGAGTTGGAGTCCACGCGTGCTGGCTGAGGCATTCTGGGAGCTGAAGTCCACGCGTCTTAAAGCTGCCAAGACTGAGAAACGCTGGCCCGGGGGCTGCGGCCGGCGCTGGAGGGACGGAGCGAGGCTCCTGGCAAAGAAAGCTGGTGGGCGTTTTCCTTGAAAGGCCACAGACCGGGAAAGCTCCCTTCCTCGACGTCCCTAGAGTGCGCACGCTCTCGGGGGCTGCAGCGCTCGAACGTTGCCATCATCTTTCGGGAAAACGCGCCCGGAGCCCTCCCGAGTCAGGGTCTGCTCCGCCGGCTTCGGCAAACTTTTTAAGCCGCGCCATGGCACGGAGCCGCCGCTGGGGGGCAGCGCGCGCTCGCCGGAGGCCCCGCGCCTCTCCAGAGACGTCGGCCCTTCCTCGCCTCGCCTCTAGGTGGCAGCGGAGAGCCGGGCGCGCCGGCCCGCCCGCCCGCCCGCCGCCTGCCCGCTTGCTGCCCTCTCGAGGTCGTCGGAACATGGCCGGTCGGGGGATCCCGGTCTCTCCTTCAGATCGTTGCCCTGCTTGCGCCTCGAACCGATGAGGACTTTTCCGAAAGACGGGAAGCCGCGTGTGGGCTTTCTGCCGAAAGAGGAAAAGGCAGAACTGACGACTTATGGATGGGGGGAGGAAAAAGGGTCAAGGAGGGAGGAGGAAAAAGTCAGCTGGCGGTGGCAACACGGGAGAGGAAGAAGGGCGGGATTTAAAACTCCAGGCTTGCTTTCTCTTTTCACTTTTTTCTGTTTTATTTCTTCTTCGTTTTCATTTTTTTCTACTTTTCCTGTACTGCATTGTAAAATTTTAATCAAAAAATGTAAAATTTTAATTAAAAAACATTAAAAGAAAACAAGAAATGGGGAGGCGGTGAGTTCTACGCCTCCCTTGGGCATGACAGCCAACCGGGTGACTTTGGGCCAATCTCTCTCTCAACCCACCCCACCTCGCAGGGTTGTTGTTGCGGGAAAATAGGAGGAGCGAGCAGGACGGCCCCAAAGGGGGGCAGAGCATGCCGGCCCTCTGCTGCCCTCTGGGGGCATCACGGTTTGGAGCTGGGACGGCAGCCGGAAAGTCCCCGGTCTGTGGAGTTGCAGAGTTGATGCGTCCAGCACCGATACTTTGCCTGTTTGGGCAACGGCTCTTATCCCCAAAGCCAGCAAAAAATGCATATTTCGAGGGTTCCCTAAATTTTCTGAAGGGGTCAAAGGCTTTCTT